GACGCCCATTGATCGTCTTCAAGGTCACTGTGCAGCAACAGCAGGAACGGAACCGGGCTGGGACACCATTCTCGCGGGTAACTATTGGTGACCTGACCCAAGTGTGAAATGGTCCAGAAAGAGCCCATTGGCGTGGAAGGTTGCTTACTTGAGCCAAGCGGGGTGGCACGTTGGCCAGGCAGTCTTCAAACTATGTTTGGCCAGGGTCGCAAGCTATGGCAGAAGAAAGCACTCGTTATACCATGCAATTTGCCCAGGGCCACAAGCTATGGCAGAAGAAAGAACCCCAAGCGGCACAAGGAACAAGTTGTTTCGTTCGCGGTCGTGAATGACAATCAATTCAACAAGGTATCAGTACACACCGCCTTTTGTACCACTCACACCGATGTAGAGAGGGCAACATTTAAGCACAATGACAGTTACCTGCTTGGAATGTCGATGAGCATAGAGCCTTCGTTCCTCCGATGGAATCCCAACCACTAGCGCTTTGGTTCAGGTTTTGGGGCATCGACTATTTTGTTGCTGACATTTGGCCAGTTTGATCCTGAGCACTGCTACATGTGCTGACCAGCAGAAGGCAGTCAGTACTAGCAGCAGTTAGCAGTGAGCGAATTGGCGCGAAGGGAGAGCATAGCCTCTTAGCAAGCCACTCTGCAAGTATTTAGCCAGAAAAATGAGACTTCTGTGATCAGGGTTCCATGGGTTCCATGGGTTCCATGCAGCAAGTCTGCGAGTCTCATTCAAGGACCTGGTACATGTTCCAGAAAGGTTGCGAGGGAGGGGCGACCTTTCAACAAATGAAGTTACCGCCGTGTGTATTGGTTACTCTAGTTGTAGCTGGTTCCACTGGGACTTGTTTGTCGTTCTTTAACAATCTCGATTGGCGCTGGGAATGAGGCCAAGAAACAAGGATGTCATCAAATTCCTCAGCGGGTTTGGATTTAGAATTTAGTAGGGCAACAACTGGGAGGCAAGTTGAAACCACAGCAACACTCTGTATTATTGGGTTGATGTTGTGAGAGTACCTTGTGGCAAACCTGGAGGCCAAGGGGCTGTGCCACGGGTTGCCGTCTCATTTGCAAGCGCATGCAGTATGTCTTCCACTATTTATATAAGCACAGATTTCATATGTGATGTGAGTCTTCATAATCTTTGTACTTTGTATTGGGAAGCGAAATTTGCAAATACAGCAAATCTTGAACCACGAGTCACTTTCCCGTCCAAGGCTTCGTGCAGTGGAATCGGCTCTGAGCAGACGGGTTGGGCATGATGCCATGGTCCAGTAAAGCGTTGAGACAGAAGCATTGCCCAACCCCATGGCGTTTCCACGTCAAGGTTCGTGAGGAGCCTTGATTTTCAACCCTTGCAGGTGCAGGAACTCTGAGGTAAGGTGCTGAGTGTCAGAAGGGCTGCTGGCCACAAGGAGCTGACTTGTCAATAGTGAGACCCGTCACCTTGTGTAAAGCCCGCGGAGAAAGCACGGCCTCTTTTTCTCATCTCTGAGATGTGCCGACCGGCACAGCATTTTAGGGACATGTTTGCTAGATGTTGCTTCAGAAGGTGGTTTTGGCGTTGGTGCATCGTGACCCCATCATTCTGAGGGGGTTTGCATGGATTATCTAGGCTCATGGATGCTCTCGTGTTTGCCATGCCATTCATCATACAATCAGTAGTCTGCAATAATGAACTTGCGCGGCTAAGGGCTTTGCTTGTATTCGCCTCCATGCATGCATGCACTGAGCTCTTAGACTATAGATGGATCGATGATAACTTTGTGTTGCCACGGCTTGTGGCAGCCACTTTGGCCTACTTGGACTTTCCACCTGTGTCCGGGCGGTGTTTCAGTTTGGCTCATTGGATTGCCTCCCACCGCATTGCGCAGTTGGGAGCTGCTGCCGGCAATGAGCCGGCCCTACACGCACGTGGGGGCACCCAGTTCGAAGGACCCAGGGGGCCTGGGCTGCCAGGGTTGCCTCTCTCCTTTTAAGCACAGCAGCCATTGGGGTGGAGAATGTGCCAGCCAAGGGAAGCAACGGGACCAGCAATGTAGAGCGGTCGAACTTTTGGTTGCAAGCTTCAAAGAGGCATGCTTTGCTGAGAAGGGTAGGCATTTTCGTCATGGATCTGATGATGTGCTGGGGGCTACCCAGAAGTTTGGAACGACTTGTTTGGTGAACATTGCTTCGGACACTCTTTCTCCTGTGAGTTCCCTCTCATGCAGTCGCGTTGCAAGCTTCACAGCGCCTCCAAAGAGCTTTGGGTAATGGGCCTGTGCTGCGGGCTGAAGAACCCAGACACCCGGTCGCAAAACAACTGCCAATTGCCCCCACTGCTTTCTATCCACTGGATTTGTTTTGTTGTGTGTGTGGGTGGGTGTGTGGGAGAGAGAGACTTGTGTTGCGTCCTGCAAGCTGAGGCTGCGGCCACCTCCCTGGGAGGCTACATCTACATTTTCGGGGGGCTGAGCTTCGGGCACGTGCTAGACCAGGCGGCACCGGCCGAAGTCTCGGCTCGTGTTTGGGCCACGCCTCAAAGAGTGGCTCGTTTATATATTAAATATAATATATATATACATATATATATATATATATTTGTTGTTATTTTTAAAATGTATTAATCTATTTCCCTGTCTCAAGAGTGCGCTTGTTTCTTCCAGTTTGGAATTTGGGCTGGTTTACATCGTTGCTTGTGTAATTGTATTCCATGAATCCATGCTCGGGGAGAAAGACACCATCCTTTGGTGCTCCTGGTCCTACCCAAACTTGCAAGATGTTTGCAGTCCGCGTTGCAGCGAACTCCTGCATTGCGCCCTTGCCTGTTCAAGAGGGCCAACGCCCCCCCACAAGGTCACATGTTTTGGGAACAAGGCGTTCATTTGTCGACACGTTGTATATGTGTTTGCTCGGTGTCACTGTCCACGCACGATCTGCGCGTGTGGTCCCCTCGTCGCGGGCTGGAAGCTGCCATTTGCGAGGCCCAGCGCTTTGACCCGGCCAAAGGGCAATGGGAGTGCCCGGGGGCCAGAAGAGCAGGTGATTCCAAGCCGGTAGCTTCATCAAGCCTGAAGGCCTGAAGGCTTGAAGGGTAGAGCAGTTTCGTGTAGCAAGGGGCTCAACATGGAAATTTTATCAGACAGCCCTGGATCATCACCCGGCATGGGGTGCTAGCAGCATGTTGGCCCCAGCGACGGCAGGTTTGACGCCCAGAGTTGGGACTGTTTCTGGAATGTATGCTTTCAGCATTCACGGATGGTTTCGTGGGTTGTGTGCATTATAGGCTTTACGGATTCTCAAGAGAGCCTGGACCATGGCACTTTTTGAAGCAAGGGCGGTGCCTGCTTGACAGCAGGGAGTAAACTCCTGCACTACCTTCGAGCATTCTGCGCTTGTATGCTCTGGCATGTTTGTAGTACGTGCTCCACCGGACAGCTGGGGCTGCAGCCAGGCACTTGTTAGAATGCTAGGGCAATGTAAGGCCGAACGAAGCTCGGGCTTGTTCTCAGCCGGGAATTCCAAGCGTTCATCCACCGGCAGTCGATCTTTTGACCCGACTTGCAGCTCAGGCCTTGAGCCCATGCCGACGCCTCGCTTCGAGTGTCGGGGGCTTGGGGCGAGACGAAGCCCAGATTCCGATCGCAAGGGGGAGGGGAGGCGAGGAGACTTGGCCGGAAGCTGATGCATTCAATGCATTTAATGCTGTTTCTGTCGGCATTCAATCCAATCACGGAATCCTTGTCGACCTGTGATCCCAGAGAGAAACGGAGAATGAAGGGAGACAGGGATGTCGGAAGCCCGCAGCTGCGTGCGACTTCTGGGATGTGTTGCGTGAAGGGAATGTATGGAGGTTCAAAACCAGCCGGGACGTGAGTGAACTCAAGCACCAGTCCGGCAACATCGCAACGTGAGCATGCTTACTTTTCACGCACTCCTTTGCTACACGCTTACATGAGCCACGCGAGCCATACCTGCGAGGTATACTGTATGCTTGCTGGCTGCCCATGGCCCCCCGTTCCCCCGGTAATGCCCAGAGGACAAAGGGTTTGTGCTATGGTCGTTCGATTTGTTGCATGTTGCATTTTGCATGACTTACAATCCCTTGCTAAGCGTGGAGATAGCTTAGTGGCTAGCACAAGTTGCCAACATCCATTGCGAGTTGGTTGTCACGCTTGCTTGACAGGATCCACAGATCCACTGTGCCCTCTTAAGTTGGCTCAACCAAGTCAGGGTTGCTGGGCCTGAGTCTTTCCATGGAGAAGAGCTTACGAAGACCACGACCCCCGGTGCATTTGGTCATTTGTCTTTGAGCTCATGTGCAAATAGGCCGTAAAGAATGCGATGGTTGCTTTTGGACAAGCGTGTGACAAGTTGGTGTTTGACACAGCCAACCTGGCGCTGTGGTCTTCAAGCTTTGCAGGCATGTTGTGGGGGTGCGAATGGACTGATCAGGCTGGCTGGTAGAGGCCTTGTCAGATCCCATTCCCGGTCCGGTGAGGCTGTGCCATGGTACCATGTTCTGTTTCAAGCGCTGAGGCACCGCGGCCGCCACCAAGGGCCGCATCTTCGTTTGGGTGCTCAGAGACTGGACAGGGAGGCAGCTTCACTTGCAGTGACTTCCGGGCAGATTCTGGCTCGCATCCCATGCAGTTGTGAGAGTACCCGGTTTCTCAGGGAAGCATGCTGCAGCCTTTCCGCAAAATGGATGCGTTTCTTGCAGCAGCTCAACAGGTCTTGTAGAGGTTAAGTCGCAAGCAAGGCCGTGCCGCTTGCTGGTAAAGATATGTGGGCGTGGACACTCACCATACCCGCGAATGCACCTAGTTGAATGCTTCATTGTCTTGTTCTATGAAAGCTCATCCACCTCTCCGCAACATCTCTGTCAACATCGCTTTTCCATCCCGATTCTCAATCGAATCTCATACCTAGACTGAAAGCGCTGGTCACAGGTTCAACGAGGATCGCGGAGAATGCCGGCAGACGACTTTAGACTGTTTGCACTGGTGG